CTAATGTCCTGTTTGGTACACACAGAAACCCACTGTCTTTTAAAAACCACAGGTATTCCATTTTTGTTTAAGGAGAGAACTCATGGTAATATTTCCATCTGCTCCCTGCTGTGCTCTCTGTGGTTGCTGAAAATATTATTGATGTAGGATGGGGTGAATTCTACTTTCACTGAAAAAAGACATATAACAAATTGATAATGCAAGCAGTGTAGCCTACACAGGATTGGACAGTGAATCTTTTGGCCTACTTCCTGCTTAGCAGCAGACATATTGACAATTAAATACAATATAGACTAAATTTATAAAAGAAATAGCTAATAAAACCTCGTAATCCGATGTTTCCTTACCGTTTTGTGAGTGCCATCCAAAAAGAGTTTTTTAAAATGCTGTTCATTTGAGAGATATGGATGTCCCTGGCTAAGCTGACATCTATTGTCTGTCTCGAGCTGACAAGGCCTCATATGAACTTGAGGAAGTATGTATGGTGTCTGCTCTTTCTGCTGATGACCTGTTTTGCATTGAGGGCCAAAAGGTGACATCTGGACCCTGAACTTCACATTCGATGCATCTATTCTCTGTTCCAGGGGAGCATCCTGAACACTGGGATCAGAGCTATCCAGAAACCTAACTTCTCATTCAAAAGATGGTATCTAGCTTCTCCTTCTTTGTGTTATCAACCAGTATGTTGACTTAGCAAAGATGTTCGCCAAGTTCAGTGAAAAAAACAATTACATTTATATTGCACCTTTCAAAACCTCAGGAGCTGGCAAAGCAATTGGCAGGTGATCACAGACATTTCAGTTGTTGCCGCTATTAAACAAAATGGCCAATTTGCAGACAGCAAATTCCACAAAACAACAATAACCAGCATTTTGCTGATTAAACTTTTTGTGTTGTTAATTGAGGGATAAATATTGGCAAGGACTCTGAGGATAATTCCACTGATTTTCAAAATTATACAAAAGGATCTCTTATATTCACCTGAGAGAACAGGCAGCTTAACTTCTCTTAAAGGAAAAGTGTCTCTGATTGTATAGTGCTATATGGTTGCATCAGAGTCAGTTGAGTTCTTTTGCCCCCAGATCTCTGAATGGGACTTGAACCCACCAACCTCCTGCTGCTGAGGTTGCTACCAACAGAACTACAGGTTCAGGTTGTGATCCTGTTCTCTGTAGGTTCTCACTGTGTGACCATTTCTTCATTACAACAAAGAGGTGAATCTCAAATTCCTCTCTCTCGTCAGCTAATTTAATCATGAGCTTAAACAGGAGATGCTGGAAATATGCAGTAATTCTGTCAGTGATGTGAGCTTATCTGCAGTAGGAAGTTTTACCTGAGGTGACAATGTTTAAGTTATCTCCCATAACATAAGAAACTGGGCATGGATATCATAAGAACATAAGAACTAAGAGCAGGAGTAGGCCTCTCCCTCGAGCTTGCCCCGCCATTTAATAAGATCATGGCTGATCTTTTTGAGACTCAGCTCCACTTACCCACCCACTCACCATAACCTTTGTCATGGTATTGAAGAATCCAACAGGTATTTATTGAAATGAACTATTATATACAAACATTACATTCCTCAAGCATGTAGTATCTGGGCTAATAGTAAGCTAAAGGTTTACAACAGAAGAGCATGTTTCTAGTAGAGTACCATGCTTCAAGTGATCTGAGGTAAGCTAGAATCGGAGACTTTAATATTTTCAGGTCATATGCAAACCCCCCCCATAGTGATGACATCAGTTTGTCTCTTCAAGGCATATCAACTAGGAGATACAGCACACCAGTGAGTGGCTGTGAAAGAAAAGGTGTGTTCATATACCTGGTATGATCGTGCTTCAAGCCGGCTAGGTATTTGTAGGATTTTCTGCTCACATTTCAGATTTGCTGTGCTGTTGGTGTTACGTAACATTTGTCCCAATCCTGGTCCAAGTCAGTTAGTCAATCTTGCTAAAAACACTAATTGCAAGAGAGAGAATTTCAATCAAATTCAAAACTAGCAACATGGCAGTAGATATAGAAAATGTGAGCTATGGCAAACCGTAAAAAGAGAAAATCAGTAATGGTGAAGAAGTTGAAATATTTAGCTTTAATAAAGAAATACTGGAATGCAATCTTTGAATTACAGTGTTGTTTATAATTGAATTTTTGTTTATATTTTCCAAAGTCTGTTAAAATGTCTCAGTTTGACCCCTCTCGAGCTGTTTGATTTACAAAATGGAGAAGAAAGACTTCCTTGGAATGCAGTTTATGTATTACATACAATCTTCACCTTAGAAGCAAATTATTTGGCCTCTGCTGATGTTTATGCTTCTCTGATGCTTTCCCACAGTTACACACAACCAGACTTGCAACAAAAGTATGCTCAGATCTGGAGTAGGCCTTTCTATGTGCCAAGAGGACACAATTCTGATCTCCCATTGGCATCACTTTTCAAAGAGAATGGAGTATTCAATTAGGGAGGTCTTGATAAAACTATAGAGGGCATGAGTTAGACCACATCTGGAATGCAAAGAACAGTTTGGGTTCGCTTACCCAAGAAAAGACCCACTGGCATTGGAGGCAGTCCAGAGATGGTTTATTAGGGTCATCCCAGAAATAGAGGGATTTTCTCGTGAGGAGTGGTTGAATAGCTTGGGCTTGTACTCTTTGGATTTTAGAAGATTAAGAGGAGACCTTATTGAAACATGCAAGATTCTTTGGGGGGCTTGACAGGATAGATGCAGAGAGATTGTCTCTCCTTGTGGGAGAATCTAGGAGCAGGGAGGTATAATCTGAGAATAAGAGCTGCTCAATTAGGACAGAGACAGGGAAGAATTTCTTGTGAGGGTAATGAAGTTGTGGAAATCTTTATTGCAGAGGGCTATTGAGCCTGTATTATTTGCTATATTCAAGGCATCAAAGGTTATAAGGAAAAGGCAGGAAAGTAGGGTTGAGGATTTCAGATCAGCTATGTTCTCACTGAACAGCAGAGCAGATTCAATGGGCCGAATGACCTACTTCTCCAACATTTTATGTTCGTATGGTCTAATGATATCCAAAAAGTGAAGCACCAAAGGAACCTAGGCACAGGTCTGGGCTGAGATCCTCCATAGATTGGAAGGTCTGCCAGAGTTCTCAGTTAAAACACAAATTCTTCAGTACTTTCAGAAACTTTTACAGCCCAGTGCTGTTCAGCAGATACTCGAAGGTCTGTACGTCTGGTATCTATGTGTCTGTTTGTTGCTCTATCCTCCTTAATCTCTGCCAAGGGCTTGGGGCTGGTGGGAAGCAATGAAGGGGTTGGGCTGCTGAACCACACCAGTGGGATCTGACATAATATGCAAGTGCAACAAAAACAGAAATTGCTGGAGAAACTCAGCAGCATCTTTGGGGAGAAAGGCAGAGTTAATGCTAGAGGTCCAGTGACCCTTCATCAGAATTGAAGTATTCAGGGAGATTCCAGTCCAATTCTGAGGGGTTGGTAACCTTATTCCTCGGCTATCCATTGAGCTTGATTAAAAAAGTGAAGACAGTGTCGGGCTCAGCTCCGATGCCCCTCATAGTCAGTTAAGCGGCTGTCAAACTTGCGAACTCACCCCAACACGCACTCACACCAGTTCTCAGCATGAAACGTGCAATTATAAACTGGGAGTGACAACTGTCTTATTGTCACAGCCCAACACAAGCCATAGCCTTTAGGAGAGAGGGGAAAAAATAAACGCAGTAAATGTTCCAAGCTGTCACATGTACAGCTGCAATAGACTTTCCAAAACCATTATGTGTACGTTTACAGTAGATGTTCCAAGCTGTTGTATGTACAGTTGCACAGATAGATTGGTGAATCTGCGACTATTCACCTTGGAGAAGTGAAGATTAAAAGGAGATTTGATAGAGGTGTTCAAAACCAAGAGGGGTCTGGACAGAGACGCTGGTGAGAAACCATTCCCATTGGCAGAAAGGTTGAGAACCAGAGGATGCCGATTTAAGGTGATTCGGTAAAGGAATGGTGCTGGCTCGAGGAAGATTTTTAAGATCTGGAATGCACTGCTAAGAAAGTAGTGAAGGCAAACTCAATTACAGCTTTCAAAGAGAATTGCGTAGATATCTGAAAAGGGAAAAATTGCAGGACTGCATGGGGAGTAGATCTATATGAGCTGATCTTGCAGAGAGCTGGCACAGACACAATTAGCTTCATGGCTTCCTGTACTGTAACCATATGATTCTATAAGTTGGGCTTGCAAAATAATGATTTGTTCATACACGCAAAGGCCACAGGAGAAAAAAAAAATCATTACTTAAATAGTTTGACATTTAAACAGTGACATTGCTGTGCCAAGTGGTTAATTGAACAGAAGTTGGAATATTTTTCACATCTCTAGAAAGGGCAGTAGGTTTCCCATATTTCAGAATGTCTCCTCTTAGAGGTAACTTTCTATTATATAGAGTTTAGTAGGTTGTCTTTCGAAGGAGTTCAGGAGGTTCTGTGAAAGTGTGATCCCCGGGCTGGGAGTGGAGTGAGACCACCAGAGCGCAGAGTTCGAAGGCTGCCTCACTGAGGGGGAGGAACATCCATGAAGGAACAGTTAGAGCAGCGTGAAAGTGAGAAACCTCTTTTTTTTTTCCTCAGAAGCATCCTTTATGTGTTGTGTAGCGCTTTTGTTTAGATGGCACGTTTGTGATTACTAATGGGTTTGAAAAGGAGTTATTCAACCAAAAATAAATCTGTCAACCACTGGTATCATCTATCTATCATCATCATCTGAATCATTTCTGTAGTTCTCATAGGATTACCCAAGTTCCTACTGGGACAATTGAGATCAGATGTGTGTTTTATGCTTGATGTCACAAAGACAAACAACTGTCTTTACAATCATCTATACTTGAGAGAAAAAGTGTACTTCCAGCTTGCTCCTTAGAGGAATATGAACATTTTCTGTTTTCCTTTCTGTGATCAATGAGTCTACACAGATTTAACTGAAGCTTTGTGTGTTTTTTTCTCTCTTTTGCTTGATGTATAGATTATCTTTGAAGATAGAACCAGGGAACAGTTCTCCCCGTCTGGTCTCCTCCAAAGAGGACCTAGCAGGTAAGGAAAAGGATTTCAGAAATTAATCCCTTCAGATTTCTCTGGCTGTAAGAACTGAAGAGGCCATGACACAAGCCATTGCCTATGAATTTCTACTTTGTATTTCACACACAAAGTAACAGCAAATGCAGCCAGAATTACGTCAGCAATGCACCCTTGCTCGCCTTAGTGGCAGAAATTGTTTCTTTGCCCCAAGTCAGGTTTGCAACAAACGTGTTATATGATTAAAAATGGGATTAAGGAGCAGTGTGATAAACAGGCATGGAATTCCTACGATCTCGGAGATGCTGAGAATCTAAGATAACAAGGTGTAGAGCTGGATGAACTTAGCAGGCCAAGCAGCATCAGAGGAGCAGGAAAGCTGACGTTTCGGGCCTAGACCCATTCCTCATGGCTGATTTGCAAATGCATTCATGCTGTTTGAGACAAACAACGAAAGGTCAATTGTTTGCTGAAAGGTAAGTTTCTGGTGTGTAAAATACAGTGTTCAAATACAAGCATATGTTATGTACACAGAAGGATTAAGAACTCAATGAAAAGGAATCAGAAGTGATTTTGTGTACAAGGCTTTTTTATTCTCCTATGCTTGGAATGGCCCTGTGGTTTTCCCATAACCATCTGCAAGATAATTCCTTAATTATGCCTTCCTGGAAGTCATAGAGAGTAATTTCTACAGTAATGACATCAATCAACGTAATTTTCTCATTGGATTTAAGTACTGTTAGCATTGCTATAAGTTTTAAGACTGTGATGTGTGTACATAGTCTAAATGTAATGGATGGTTTGCAGTAAGTAATAAGAATATAGGTTAATGGAGGAGGCCTATGGGGATTCAAGTAGCACTTGTGCTTGCTTACATGGTTTATAGTTCACTTAAAGTTGGTTAAATACAGCTTTTATTGCACCCATTTAACAATTCCTGGTCAGGCTTGAATCAGTTCCTAGTTGGGGCAATTGCTGTTGATTCCCTTCACTTCCAACTGAGTTGCATGGCAAGTCAAGGACAAAGGCTATCTGTTAACTGATGGAGGTACCTTTCAGTGGAAGTAAATAATCAAATATTTGAATGGGAATAGGGTGCTGAAGGGAGACATCACTGTCAATAAGAGACATTATTACTGCCGTGCATTTATTTCCTGTCACTGAGACTTCAAGGCTTATGCTTATTCCAGGTATTAACTGCCTTTTGCAAGCAACTGTTTCCATCTGATTGTCAGCTTGTACAAAAGAGGACTGTAAACTGGAATTTATGGCTTGCGGTTTGTGGCTTCGCCTATCTTGCAATAAACCTCATGTTTTGGGAAGTCACATTGAGCCCTCTGTCTTTTTGCAGCCTTGACAGAACCAGTCACTGCTAAGTTGCTGAGCTTTCAGCAACAGATTTATTTACATATGAAATTAAAAATCAAATGCAAAAACAATATAGCTGATTTCCATATGTTTGCTAGCTGACTGCAGGGCCTAGGTTGCTTCAGACGCTAATCCTAGTTCATGAGATCGGATGGGATGGGTTGAGCTCTGTAATCCAAGAGCCAATATATCCCGTTGGGGATTGAGAAAATACTGCAGGGACTTACAGTGGACAGAGTGACAGATTTATGACTGCTCATGTCAGTGCAGAAACTCCGTGCCAACATGAGTTCTTGGCACAATTGCAGTAGTTTGACAGTAAAGCATCTCCTACACAATAATTTTACACCAGATATCATTTAAAGAGATGGCATTTGTCACAGAGCTTTGAGTGATGGGAGCTCATCTCTGGAATTAGAGCCTGCAGTGTCTTCATTTCATGGTGCATGCCACCTACATCTTTTCCTTACAATGTAGCATAATTAAGGTGTGCAGCAAATAATCTACATTCAACTCACCGCCCAAATTATTGGATTTTGCTCAAGTCAAAGCTCTGCAGCAGCAGCAACTTGTATTCATATAGTGAAGAAGCATTATGGAACAAAATGTGACCACTCAGGAACGTAGAGAGATAGGAGAATAGATATCCAATTTGTCAAAGAGGTAGACTATATGGAGTATCTCAAAGGAGGATGGAGATCCTTGCAGTAAATTTCAAATTTGAGGGGCTGGGTTCTTGGTCATCAGTGGAATAGCAGGGATTCTCAAGGAGCCAGAATTTGAAAAGCACAGAGTTCTTGGTGGTATTGTTAGGTTGGGGAGCAGGTCAGTGATAGAGGAAGGCAAGCCCAAGGGTGGGATTTGAAAATGAGGATGGAAAGTTCAAAGTCAAGGCATTGTTGGACTAGGTAGGGCAAATGTATCGCTGAAATATGGGGGCACAGGACTTGTTACCTTTAGCATCTGGGTTTTGGATGAGCTGAAGTTTAGAGTGCAAAGTGGGAGAGGATGGTACAGGATTGATACAAGTGCAAATGTGTAAAATTTATCCTAATCCTCCAAGATGTACTGGGGATGTTGATCATTATCAAATCATTTGTCTCATTGGTTGTAATGTGGAACTGTCACATGGTTTGAATGTTCAAAGTGGTTCTTGAGTATAGCATAGAGGATTGCACAGACCAAGCAATGTCCTGAATGAGATGCCAGAAAACACAGAACCAATTCCATAAACTTCATTTGCATTCTGTGTGGTGTATAAAACCAACCTTTCAGTAAAGCTCAAGTATTTTTGGATCAAAGCCAGAGGTAAATTAGCAGCTGAGCAGGTAAGTGTTACCTTCTTAGTAGACAGGGCCCTGAATCCTCATTCGAGCACTGGAGAGTAGGAGTGCATTGCATTATTGTCATGGACAACATCTTGAATCAATGAAGAGAAGCACGAAGGCAAACAGAACAATGGAGAACAGTGGATAGTCAAAGGTTATTGAAGGGCTGATTGTAAAATGCTTCTCTAAGTTCTAATAAATACTGCATTTGGGAACCATTGCTTCTAACTTGGGCATGTTTTCAAGTCTGGAATGATGCTCTCTATCAGAATGACTGACTGATCAGACTGTTGAACTTGCTACTACATCATCAATTATTGGAAAAATACAGCGCAGATGCGTTTGTGGAGAAGCTCGATGTAAGGGGGAAATGAATAGATTGATACCGCTGGTAGGAGTAGATGACTTGAGGCTCTAGGTAGAGCTGTATGTCCCATTCCTCTACTGTGAGTTCTATGCCATTTTAATTGTTCTTGTTGTGCAGTTTTCGAAAAGAACTGCCCCTGAGTTTCCCTCTTCCTGAAGGTATAACACAGATACAGGTCATTCAGCACAACCATATTAGTGTTAATCCTTCACAGAAGAATTGCCCTAATTCCATGAGTCCGCTATCCTTCAGTTATCTATCTCTCTATTAAAGGTTGACATGATCTCCACATCAATCAGTATCTCTGGTAATTTGTTCCATATTTCACTGTGCAAAATAATTTAGATCATAAGATATAGGAGCAGAATTGGGCCATTTAGCCCATCAAATCTGCTCCACCATTCGATCATACTGAAATGTTTCTCAGCCCCATTCTCCTGTCTTCTCCCTGTAACCCTTGATTCTCTTACCGATCAAGAACCGATCTATCTCTGTCTTAAACACGTTGATGACTCAGCCTCCACAACCCTCTGCAGCAATGAGTTCCATAGATTCACCACCCTCTGACTGAAGAAATTCCTCCTCAACTCAGTTCGAAAGCATCATCCCTCCACTTTGAGACTGTGCCCTTGGGTCCGAGCCACTTCTACTAATGGAAACATCATTTCCACATCCAGTCAATCCTGGCGTCTCAGCATTCTGTAAGTTTCAATCCAATCCCCCCCTCATACTTCAAAGTTCTGTTGAGTACAGACCCGGAGTCCTCAACCGCTCCTCATAGGACAAATGCTTCATCCCTGGGATCATTCTTGTGAACCTCCTCTGGCTTCCCACTAATCTTCATTTTGTGGTATACTTTTTCTGTTGCTTTTATGCTGTCTCTGATTTCCCTTGTCAGTTCATGGTTGTCCTCTAATCTGCTGTGCCTGAAGTTAGATTCCTGACCCTTTCCATACTCTCTGTCCTATTACTTGTTCTGGAAACTTTAATAACCTCTCTTAAACACCCTCCCCCAACCCCAGCCACCCGCCCATTAATTTAAAGTTCTTGTGACCACCCTGTGTAACCTTTCCGCTAGGATCCTGCTCCCAGATTGGTTCAAGCGGAGCCTATTCCTTCCTTTCTGTCCCAGTACTGATGCTATTGCTCCACAATATGGAAACCCTCTTTCCCACACCTCTCACTTAGCCATGTGTTCACTTACCTAATTTTCTTAGGTCCATGCCAACCAACACTTAGTACAGATGTGGTCACTATAAACCACAGTGGGTTTCGCCAGCTCCCACATCATGCAGATACAACACATCACCTGGCCCTGCATCTCCATATTATTTAATTTGTATTTAAATTCCTACTGGTCTTTAGTTTTTAATCTGTAAATTTGCACATGATTCAGGAAATAATCCAGAGATTAATAACCCTTGAGGTCCTGTTCTTTAATTTTGTTCCTAATTCCTGTTAACCCCCAAAGAGGACCTTTTGCCTCTTCTTGCCTATGTTGTTGGCCCCAACATGGACCATAGCAACTGGATCCTCCCTAGGTAGGCCGTATACTATGTGGGACTCTCGATCTTGCTCACAATGCTATCTGTGCCTCTCATTACAGAATCCCCTACCACTATCATTTTTTTGTGTTCCACCCACTTGAATGGCTTCCTGTGCCACAGTGCAATGGTCAATTTGACCATCCTCCCTGCAGACTCTTTCTCCATCCAGTCAAGGAGCAAATACCTCATACCTGCTGGATGAGATCAAGAGTGGAGTCTCCTCCAGTACTATGTTCAGGATCCCTCTACCTGCCTCAGTTGATGTCACTGTCACCACCAACCCACCCCCTCCACCCCCCACCCAACCCCAGTCCCTGACCACTGGTGAAATTTGATATAATTAATCTACAGGGTGTGACTGTCTCCTGGAACATGGTATCCAGGTAACTCTTCCCCTCCCTGATGTGT